TTTAAAAATGTATAGTGTGTATCTTCTAAAAATGAAACCTACATCTATCTCTGAGTTGTGAAGAATATGTATTAAGGTTATAATAACCAACAAGAATGCACGAGTCTTCCAGACTAATGATTTAAATAATGATTTAAATCAAATCCACCCTGCCATGAACAGTTTCGGTTTCAACAAATCAGCATTTTCCAATGAAAGCGCCTTTCATCAAGAAATTCCCACCCTGCTCTAGATCCGAGGGTTAGCCCCATTGCTGCTGTGAAGCTCCAAGTAGCCACGACACGAAAACTATGAGCTAAACTATGAGCTCCAAGGTGACCACTGGCCACTTGCTTAATACAATCCAACTTAAAGGCTAGAATGCTGGATTCAGACACTGCCCAATCTCTCCTGTTGGAGCTGTTCCACTTGGTATAAATATTCATTGAGCTAGAAACAAAGACTGACTCTATAACCTGGTGAGTAGGAGCCTGAGGACCAAGTCCCTGCGCTGGCTGATTCAGTTCAGGGACTTGAGCTGGGGACTCCCACAACCAAGAAAACTGTCCCCACTACTGGTTATTCTGGGGTGTCTGTCTCCCTTGGGTTTTTTTTGACAACAGATTTCAAGAGGCCTCATTTTCCTTCTGCATTGGAATGAAAACAAAACTTCAAAACCTTGCAAATTTTTGCAAAACAGAATTGTTGTTTTCCAGTCAGCTCCAAGTACTGCCCCAATGCACTTTGTGGGTCATGGAGAAAAATAAATACATATTCTGTGGCAGCCACTTCTAATGTCTGACTGCCTCGCAGTATGTAGCTCATCATGACAGAATGGGTAGAGGTTGGACAGGGGCACCACGCAGCCTCACAGTTCAATTCTTTATGCGCAAAATCATAAAATACCTTTTCTTCTTCAACAGGAAGAACAGCTCCCACTGACAGAAGCACCAGACAATCACCCCCAATACAATTCTTGGAAGTACTTTTGAAAATCACGCCACTTATCTAGATGCCTCATTTTAGGCACCTACTTTTGAAAATCTCAGCCCACTGAAACAAAAAATTAACTGGTTGCTGCATCTGTAATCTTTTATTTCAACTTTGTGTTGCATCTGTCATGTGCTAGTAAATTCACCTTTGGTAATCTTTTCTAGCTTTATTTGGCTTGCATGAATATATTTGGCACAGTACTTAAAAATGAAAATATAAATAAAGGTTTGCAAGCAAGGCTTTTGCTACACTTGTTCCTGAATATCAACACCTGAAAGACAATTAGCTAGAAGACTGGCACCATTCTGTCTAAAAATAGCAGCTATATTATCTAACTTAAAACTATAACTCTCACTATACTAAAATCCTTTGGAAATAATATACCTAATATTTTCATGAAGTTTCCAAGTTACGTAAGATTTTCTAACCTGATTATCTAAACTGCTGAGCACCCACAACTCCTACTACTGTCGGTGCAAGTTGCGGGTGCTCAGACCTCTGAGACTATATTAAGACTTGACTGAGTACGGACAGCTCCTATCAACTGGAATTGTCAGTGTTCAGAAATTTTGAAAATCAGATACTTAACTCTGTTGAGATTATCTCAGTTCTCACTTGTAAAATGGAAATAATAATAATTCTTTGTATCAGAGGTGTAGTGAGGATAAATTGATAAATGTATTAGAAGTGCTCAGATAAGAGTGTGATGGGAGCCATAAAAGTACCCTGATAAAGCCATTCCTTGTAATAAGTGTGTCAAATGTATCAATCGCAGACCAAACTGCAAAGGACTAGGCCTCAGTCTTACAACATGCTCCATTTGGGTCTGCACCCATGTGGAACCTCAGTGGGCCTCTGTGTGGGCACAGAGATTAAGGCATGTTAAGTACCTTGCAAGATTGGAGTCTAAAACCCTGATCCTGCAAACACTTTCTCACATGCTTAACTTTACCTCTGTGAATAGTCATGCTGAAATCAAAGTGTGTGTGTTTTACATGATTCGGGCCTTACAGAGCTCTTATATGAGGGTGCAACATAAAAGCCTGTGTGAGAAATGGCACCCCTTTCTCTATCACACCAAACATAAGCTCCTTGTTTTCACTTTCAAGGCCCTTTGTGACCTATCCTCATCCCACCTATCATCTCTCATTTGCTACCACTGCCTTCATTGCCCACATGTTAAACTTTCAAGCACCTTGTGCTTTCTCTCATGCCACTTCTCATGCTTGGGAGGTGCTGCCTGTAAACACCTGCAAAACTATCTCATTATCCTTCTTCAAAACCCTCCTTTACTGTGATGCTTAAAAAAACGTTACAGTGACTAAGCTGCTGGCATAAAGAGACCATGGCCTGTCATTCTGACAAATACTGTCTCATTGTTTCCTTGTCCTCCCCAGTTATCTGTCCAAATCTATCTGTCTCTTGTCTTATACTCAGATTGTAAGCTCTCTGGGGCAGGGACCTGCTTTATGTTCTGTTCGCACAGCGCCTAGCACAATGTGATCCTGGTCCACACCTGAGGCTCCCCTAGGCGCTATGGGAACACGAATAATCAAAAATATATCCCAGGTGATGGGGGGGGGGTCTTGCTGCAGACATCCTGCGCTGCTTTCACTTCCTTTCTCTGAAGCCACCTGTAAAGCAGCTGCCCCGAAGGGCGTTACCGGCGGGTACTGCTGTCACTGTAAAGTCAGCGTCCCCGCCCCAGCGAGCAGCTGCCTCTGCCTAGCCAGGCTGTCCCAGGAGCCCCGCGCAGGGCCCAGCGGGGACGGGCGCACCCGGGGGAAGCCCATTGAAGTCACTGGGCGGTTTGCAGGAGGCTTCAGCGGGGCCGGGATTTCACCCCGGGCCCTTGTCCCCGCCGCAGGGGACGCTGGCTCCGCACTGCCGGCCCCCCGCCGCCAAGCAGGAGCCGCCCCGGGGCGGACGGGCTCCGGGCTGGCCGCAGTCCTCGGGGTCTCCAGCCCCGGAGGGGCCCCGCTCGCCCGGCCCATCTGTATCCGGGTCTCGGCAGCTCTTGGACGGCCCCCTGCGCCGCGCCCGCCCCCTCCGTCCTCCCAGGCGGAGCCGCGTCTCCTCTCTGAGCCGGAGCCCAGCCACCCCCGCGCTGCCCGGTACGTAACCGGGGCTGAATCGACCCCCGGGGTCCCGCTACCGCCCGCCCGCCAGCACCCCGCCTCTCCCCGGGCAGGAGGCAGCGCCTCTGGCTCCGCACGCAGCGCAGGGGCTGTAGCCCGCCCGGGCAATGGGCTGCGGAGCTGCCCTCCCCGCCGCGCCCGGTGCTCAGAAACCCGGCGGGGCGAGCCGTCCTGCGCCGCCTGCTGAGAAGGCGCCAGCTCGGCAAATGCACCTGACCCCGCAGGCAGGGTCCAGGTCCCTGCCCTGCCCCCCCGGGGAGAAGGGGCCTGAGGAGTCAGTCACGCGCCGCGGGTCCCTGAGGCCGCCGGGACGGCCCTGGACTGTGCCCTCTGCTCGCCGCTGAGTTCTCTCTGCTCCCTAGTTAACATGTCCCGGCCGGCTGGTGTGCGAGAGGGAGACGCAGTGAACGCTCCAGTGCTGGGGCCGTGTATCTTCCCCTGCTCCTGGAACCCGTCCCTCTTTTCACTCATTTGTGCTTTTCTAAAATATCCTCCCTTTGTGCTGAACGTGCCCTGCTTGGGGTCAGGTGGCAGGTGAAGACTTTTCCGAAGTCTGAAGACCATCCGACCCTTTCGGCTGTTTTTTGATCAAGGGAGTCAGGGGAAGATAGTGCTTCCACCTCTTAAAAAAAAATTATGACTACTTTTGTGCAGGGAAATCTCTAAGCCAACCTTCAAACACCAAATTGCCCATGTGGCTAGACCTTAACAGAAGGGTAATCCTTGCATGTCTTTGAAAAGAATTTAAAAATTATGAAGATACAAGCCATTTTAAAGGCTCCCTGTATGCACAATAGACATTTTATTAAACTATGTCAGTGCCTGCTGTAAAACAGGCTGTGCCACTCCATAGTGCCATAGCTAGGTATTTTGTGTATGTGCAAACTAAGGCAGCCTCCTTTGACTGTCACAGTTTCTTTGGGGGCACTGCAGGGGGGTGGATCCACATGCAGAATCTGACCCTGAGCCCCTGATCTTGCAAACCCTTATGCATGTACATAACTTTTAAGGCAGGACCATATCTGAAGTTACACACACAAGTTTTTGTAAAATCAGGGCTTAAATTTGTAAAGTGCTGTGAAAATATAAATTCTTAAGTAAATGTTAAGTAATATTAGAAACTATTGCAGTTTAAAAACCATAGAATTTTATAAAACCAAACTACAGAGGTTTCTCCTCTTAAAACAGATACGCCCAAGAACATTAACTGCAATCTTAAGGTTACAAATGAAGGCCCCAGTCCTGCACACACGTAAGTGTGTTTGCAGAATGGGGGCCTTGAACCCAAAAAAACTGAGTAGTACATAAGATAAGGTCTTTATTGCAACACTGTTGCCTTCATTGCACGTATATAGTATTTTATTTTATTACTACTGAGGCTAATAAATGTATGAGATACCTAAGTATATACCATATCTGCTGGCTGGTATAGACTTAGATTTGTGGTTTAAAGGTAAGAGTATTTCTGATGGAGTGAAAAAGCAGATTTCATTCTCTCCCCCCCTGCTTCATTTTCAGATAAACAGAGAAATGTCTCACTCTGAAAACAAAGGGCTGATATTGGGCATAATGGCAGGGGCTGCTGGAATAAGCTTGGTACTGGTTTGGTATCACAAGAGCCGAAAATCTGGAGCAACTGTAAATTTGCCTGCGTTTCTAGATTTACGCAACAGATTTCATTATGTAGATTTGCAAAATGAAACTCATAATGAGCAAGGAACAGTAATGGCTTTACAAGGAAGACAGCTTCAGATACTGGAAAAATTGAATGGCTTACTATTGAGTGTGGAAGAACTGAAGAGAGAAGTGAAGTTTCTTAAAGAAGCTGTTCCAAAGCTGGAAGAACTTGTTCGAGATGAGCTGCAAGGGAAGGCTGGTGTTCGTGGGATTAGCCCTTTACACAAAGCCACCAGAAAAAGAAGAGCTGAGACAGTTTATGGTGCAACAGAAACTACCAGCTCTGAGGAGGCAGATAGCGAAGGAGGGTGAGTCTCCAAAATATTTCATGCACAATACACTTTAAAATTGGCATGCAAACAACATTTTAGTACCATATATGTGGAATTATGTTCTGTAAACAGCAGTCTAATTTATTTACGTTTCATGTGTACTAATTATTCTATATCTCAGCATCTGAAAAAGCTTTCCAAATCAGTAGGGCCATCCTATACCCTGCTGTGGCTGATTTGCACAGGTCTTCTAGGAATGTCTCAATTTTGTACAGAAAAAACAGATCAAAATGAAGCATTTTGGAACACATGGGATGGAATGGTTCAATATTTTGTTTCAACGTGACTTTTAATATTTAAATTTATATTTTCTAATATAAAATTTTAGAGTTTTATATTTTCTATTCTAATATAAAATTTTAGAGTAATAAAACAGTTTGACTTGAAACAATTTTTTTCCAAAATCTTTATTTTGCCTGAAATTTTAATTTTTTTGGGTTTGTTCCTATTCAGAATGAAAACAGATTTTGAAATCATGAAATTTCCTGCATAACATAACTTCTGGCTCCTGCACAGCTTTGCTCCTAACCTTCTCATGGAGGCATCCCATATCGGCACAACTTCAGATGGAATGTTTAAAAAGAAGCTCCTTCTGAAATGTGTCAAAAATGTTACTCTTGGATCATTTTTTAAGGGTCCCAGTTGTGTCTAAGAGATTTAGTGTTTTCCCTTCAAAGTGCGTTACACTCCTCACTAATTGTGTTCAATGCTCCCCATTGCCTGAAAAGTGAGTATACCGTTTTCTTAGTGAGGTCATCATTTGCTGGCCTGGAAACACAGAATCTAAGCTCAGTTTCTGATCTCACTTTCTGTAAGTTTAGACAGGCCACAGCATGGGCAATGACATACCATTCAGTCCTTGGCCTTTTTTCTAGGACTGCAAATAAATGCCAGTTGTCATGGAAGATCATGTAGTATTTTATTAACGGGTTACTGAAGTCCTTTATAAATATTTTTTCCCTTTTAAGAAAAGGAAAGAAATAGGAGTTTGCCCCAAGTGTGTGTTCTCAACTCTTCAGTGCATATACTGACAGATCTGCTACACTGCTTAGAGACTGTGCTCTGAAGAGAGCTCTCTTAATGTCCATGCAAATGTGTTCATGGAATGACTGCAGTATTTGAAGTTATATGTAGGCTATCTTTTAAATCAAATCAGATTAATGTAATAAATTCTAAACATGCTGTAGAATTGTAAAGGCCTGCATTTAGTAACAGTCTAAGACAATATAGAGAGCCAGCTTCTATGATCTGTCTTTAATGTGATGAAGAAAAAGTTCTGGGATCATGCTTTTGGTTTAATTGTGTTTTAGTAGGGAAATTCCACAGAGAGAGCATCTTTCTCGTTTGAGATACTAAAGGTGTGATACCGTCAAAGAAATACAGAACGGCTCTTCTGTATTTATGCCTTTTCTGTTATTTCTGACTTCTAGTGGCTTTAAAGGTAGTTATCGAATGGTTCTGTAAACAGGTGTTGCATATTATGGTAACCTGTTGTGTCTGAATGTTACATATGTGTAGGGTAGACTGCATCTAACATGAATACTGAAAATTAGTAAATCTAACTAATCAAATATATTATACAAAATCATTATTGTTGGTCAAAGTTGTTGGTAGACTTCAATACTAATATTCCCCAGATGTATTTGAAGTTATATGTAGGCTGTCTTTTAAATCAAATCAGATTAATGTAATAATAAACTATGATATTCTTGGATTATTAGTTTGACTGTCATAGGAAAATGTTTTAATGACATACAGACTTACCTGAGGCTGAAATAATCAATAGCCTTTTTTTTTTTTTTACTAAGTTAACCTGTAAAGGTGAAAATGTAGAACAACACTTTTCTACTGAAATATTTTTTACTTTGAGCCTGAGTAGATACTCTATACCTTACCGTCATGGTTCTTTGCAATAGTCTTTCCTTTACAAATGCTTAATAACTTTACTTACATTGAAAAGCATATACACAATATAACAAAACACCAAGTGCAAAGCTGACCCTCTTGTCATTGAAATAGTTCCTTAAGATTCACTTTCTCTGTTACCTATAAGAATCACAATTATAATAATAAAAAACCTAAACACTACCTTTTACTTGAACTATGAAGCTGTGCACATGTCTAACCTCAGTCTGAAACATATTGCTCTGAAGTCTAAGCTTGCTCATAATAGTGCTCTCCACCTTTTGTTACTCTCAGTCACTGGATCATTTCTAAGTTTAGGTTCTGATCCTGCAAAAACTTTTATGTATGAGTCTAACTTTATGTACATGAGAAGTCCCATTGACTTCAGTTAGATTACATGCATGGGTCAGTGTCTGCAAGGTTGGCCTTAGATGGCAAGTTCTTTAGGGCTCTACTTCATACTTAAGCACATGCCTAAATTTAAGGACATAAGTAATCCCATTGACTTCAGTGGAAGTACTGATGTGATTAAAATTAGTACTGATTAAAATGTGCTGGGTGCTTTCCAATCTTTACTCAAACTTTTAGAACCAGGGTGATATAAAAGGCTGCTAGCTTGTTCAGGTGAAACCAGTCATTGGGCTCCTTTTAGCATTTTTCACATCAGTAATTTTTAATATTTTCTTACTTTGTCATTTAGCAATTGGAAGAATTCTCTATTTTGAGGTAAATCAGCCTCTGATTCAAACTGATAAACTGCATATATCCTTGCTTTAATGAGAAGATGTCTTTAAATCTGTGTTCCCTTCTTAGTACAGTAACTCCTCACTTAACGTCCTCCCACTTAACATTGTTTCAAAGTTACGTCGCTGCTCCATTAGGGAACATGCTCATTTAAAGTTGTGCAATGCTCCCTTATAACGTCGTTTGGCTGACTTTACAAGGGATCATTGCACAAGTTACTCTTCTCCCCCTCCCTTCCTCCCTCCCAGCATGGGGACGCAGCGTGCTCCGGGGAGGAGGTGGAGTGGGGGTGGAAAGAGGCGGGCCTGGAGTGGAGCGGGGACGGGAAGAGGAAGGCCTGGAGCATCCCCCGGCAAAGTCAGCACCTGTTCTTCTGGGGAGAAGCTGCTGCTGCTGCGCAGGGTGCTTGCCTGCCTCATTGTCTGCAGCGGGCTGTGCCTGTGTGGGGTAAGACGGGCACCTCCCCACCACAGTACAGTATTGTACAGTATAATGCCTTTTGTCTGCCCCCCTCCCCTCAAATTTCCTTGGAACCTAACCCCCCGCATTTACATTAAATCTTATGGGAAAATTGGATTCATTTAACATAGTTTCACTTAAAGTTGCATTTTTCAGGAACATAACTACAACGTTAAGTGAGGAGTTGTATGTAATGCTTTCATACTGAAAATGTTTAAAATATCTTATAAAGGTGTAGGAGACAGAATAGTCAGTGACTAAATTCATAGGTAGATGAGACTCAATGTATTTGTTCCCTGATCCTGCAAACAGTTAAGCAGATGCTTAAATTATGTCGAGTATCCTTATTGCTCTGTGAAAATAGGGCTACTAACATGTGAAGTCATGCATGTGTAACTATTTGCAGGATCAGAGCCATAGATGGTACTCTCTTTGGACCTTTTGCTGTAGGGACAAGTAGTTTTCAACTTGCTATCTGAAAAACTGTGAAAAGGTCAAACCAGGAGAAGATTAAAAACATTGCTGTACTACATCTGGGCTATCAGCATCCATCACTGCTAGGTTTTTTTGGTGGCCAGTTCTCCGATGGACTAATTGCGTGTTTTGTGACTCTTTTCAGCAAGAATGGAGTTGTAGTATAATACACTACAGCTCCCAGAAACCAGTGGTTTTGCCTTAATAATGTAACATTGTTTCAGCATGTTTCATTTAATAATATACCTAGCATTTTTCCTTTGTCAGAGATTTTTTAAGAGATACTGTTTTTTCTTTTTTTAAGTATCAAAACGAACAATTCAACAATATCATTTATCTTTATCAAGGGAACGGATTGTCTCCTCCACATATTTCTGTGAGGATTCACAAGCAGGTGTGGTGATGAGGAAGTGCTACATATGAATATTAATACAGACTAGGAGAGTTTTTTTTTTTAAAAAAAATGCACTTCCATGGGATCAGAGGGGGATGATGTGCAACCACCTGCCCATTCCTATTCCAACTCACCCTGTCTCCTCCCTCTTCCCCAGCACAGGCTGTGGGCTAGAAAAGGTGTTCTTCCCTTTGGTCTGGGAGGTAAGGAAAGGCACGTTATGTGGGTTGATGGGGATATGATCTGACCATAGAGAACATTATTACCTCCCTGATATTTTTATGTTTTGTTATTGATGAAGCTTATTCACTTGTTATGATTTCCACAACAAAATATTGCTCAGCTGTGAGATGCTTATAGATTTTCCAAGTGAAGTTGTAGAAAAATTGTATTTTATGATCTGGCCGCCTGGAGCTGATGCTTGGTATTGTCAGGTTGACACAAGACCCTTTGGAGTTCTGTGATAGGCTTGCTTTTTGAATGCTTCTCAGCACAAACTTGACCTTGGCATTTTTTGCTTATATGGGAACATCTTGCAGTAATCATGTTAGTCTGTTGTTCAGCCTTGGATAGATAATGTTTTTACAGGGAAAAAAGAAACAAATGGGGAGATGTTATTTCTGCTAATTATCATTCATGATAATTGATAACACTGAAATCTTGATTCCCATGAGTAAAATCAAACACTTTTAAACCTTAAAGAGTGTTTGATGTGGTTCAAAAAAGCTTTTAACTCTACAATACTGTAACTGTAAGAGTGTACAGGAATGTGTAGTTCCATTTACAATTACTATTTAATCATTGCTACTTTACACTATCTAACTCCAAGCATTTTCAGTTGGTAGTTAAACAAAACAACCCTTTTTACCTGAATGTCAGGATTTCAACTGATTTGCAAGAAGGTGTTCAGCACTGTAGCATGCATTACAGCTAAAGAAGCATCTAAAAATATACTCCTTTTTTGGTGGTTTATATAGTCCATTATATACACCGCTTACATATGCAGTAGCTTTACAACCAGTTCAAAATAATAATGAAATAGCAACACATTGCACTTTTAAATATGTTTTAGCAGACTAAAGTAAATATTTAACAACTTTCAAATCCTGACTCTGCTGAAGTCAATGGAACTTTTGCCATTGGACTTCAGTGGTATGAGGATTCAGCTCTAAACTAATAGATAAACTAAATATATAAAAATCTGTTGTGAATATTTCACTTCTTTTGTCCATCATACTTTGCTTTTCAATTTGTCACTAAAAAGCTTTTATTCCTTTTCTTTCCCATACCAGTGGGGAAATTTAAGTTTAGAAACTACCGTGGCAGATCTGGCAATTCTGTTATTCAATAAGCAGCTGCATACTTATTACTTTAACTTATCCAAGCAAGCTGTAAATGCACAATGTCATTTTAATTCTGGTAGTTTTCTTAGAGTGATTTATTGAAGAGGATTATTTAAATAAAAGTATCAAAAATCATTTAGCTGTATTTCCAAAACACTATAATGATCCTATTTCTAGAAAATTATTTGTATGTTTTGGTTGTTCTGATCAAATTTGACTGAATTATTTATTGCTTAGGGTGTGCAATAAATATTAAAAATATGCAATTTGTATTTTATTCTGGTCATGGTAACTTTGAGCGCTCTGTGCTTGATAGCAAATAGTTTCCAAAGATTACTGCAAAAAGATTGTTCCATAAGAACATGATTTTCAAAAAATGGATGCCAACAGTTACTCTTATTTATTTATTTATTTTTTGTATGTGCACCTAAATAGATGGCTAGAACTTCAAATGTCTTTTGGAGTCAATGGAGATTGTTGGGTGGTCAGCTCTTTGGAAAATAAGCCTACTTATTTATCTCTGTGTGGCAATTTATAAAATATGATTCTTTCCTTAGTTGTATTTTCCCATAACTCAGTCAGTGAAGTTAGTGAACTACTTTAGTTTTTCCAGTGTGGGATATTAATCTTCTGAATGTACAAAGTATATTGATGTAATTGATCATGCTTAATATGTAAATAGCATTTGACATCATTAAAGCATTTTGCAAAATTCAGTTACACAGCATTTGTAACATTTTTGTGCGATTGGTTAGTATTTACACCTTCATTTCACAGATGGGGAAAATGAGTCACAGAATTCCAGTGAGTTTTTCAAGGCTACTGTAATGGAATGCTAAAATATATTGTACTGTTCAGGCTCTAGATGTCTCTGTGCATAAAATACCATATTTAAGCTAACCTCAGCCATACCTGGCAGTGCCTTAAAGGATCTTCTGATGAACACATCTGATAGGTGTCTTGCTCAGAAGCAAGCTCTGTAGCCAGTCCAGATCTGGTAACAGAACCATGATAGCTACAGAGACAGTGTCAAAAACAGAATAAGAACTCACAGTATTCCTGTGCTCTAACCACTAGGCAACGTCCCTGACAATCATGTTTTGCAGACTTAAACTTGATGCATTCTTCCTAACTATTTGCTAATATGCTAATTATAATGAATCTATTCTCCAGTTCAGAATAGGGATACTGTAAAATGAATGTGAAACTATCAGGAACTGAGCTAACTTCTTTAAAGTTGGGGAACTGGCACAAATTGTTATAGAACGTTTTGTCAATATTTTTAGAATATATAATTATTGTTTCTATAATTTTAGCTATATTACAGCTCACAGTGATACTGAAGGAGAATCCGAAGAAGAAGAAAGGGGATGGATTAGTTTACCTGCAGCATCTGCGAGAACAGAAAAGGAAACAGAACTATTTAATCTTCTGCAGCAGGTGGACAGTTTGCATTGTGGTTCAGATGATGATAAAAAGGAGAGCTTCAGACTGTTACTTGAGAAAGAGGAAAAGGTACTGAGGGATAAATGTACAATTATTTTCATAGTCTTGGCTCTAGGTTCACTACTGTATATGTCATCCTTTTTAACTCTGAAATATTAGAACTAAAGTACAGAAGACTAGAAGGTGTTGTACAACAATTTACATTAAAAACAAAAATTATTTCAAAGTATCATCACATCAGTATTTTTATTAGGGTAGCTGTAAAGCTTTAATTGTTTTGTTTTGAACTAAATTTAAACTATATCAAGTTCCAGTTTGTTACAGCTTCTTAAGGAACAGACATGTCCTGGACTTTTTTTAGGCAGTAGGAGTAGTTTTTCCAGCTCTCAAATTTGTCTATATAGAAAAGTCCTATGGAATTAAATAGAGAAGAAACCAACAGGGATCTAAAGAAATTTAAAGAGTGTTTATAGAAATGACACTAAAAACCAATAGGGAGAGATCCACTGAAGTCAATGGAGCTATGACAGTTTACATCACCTGGGGATCTGCCCCATAAAATCAAATAGAGTGATCATTAGTGTGTAGTTTTTTTTAAAGCATCCTATAGAATTCTATAGGATGGTATCACTGCTCACTCACCTCTTGAGTGCCTTCTAGTGGCTGGGTGTGGTAATGCAGGCCTTTCTTGCACCTGGCTGTAGGTTGTCAACCTCGCTTGGTGGGTCTTCAGTGGCTCAGCTCTCCAGCCAAGTCTCACAGTCCGTATGAATGAATGAACCCCTTCTGGGTTAACAAGGTTCCAACAAGGACTAGCAGAGTGTCCTTATTAGTGTCTTCACCAATGTCTCTGGACCCTTTGAGTCTAGCCTCTTTATCGGGCTTTTAGTAAAGAACACCACCAGGACTGTTGGTCTACCCTCACCAGGGCCCTGTTTCTTGGCCCTTTAAATCTAGTCCCTTTTCTTGGGCTTTTAAACAAGCTGTGTCCCTTTCCAGGGCTTAGGCCACTCCAGCACTTGCTGGTGGGGGACCCGGGTCCATCTACTACTCTAGGTCCCAACACACAGCAGCCACTTACTGCTCCCTCCAGTTTAGTCAAGGTCCAGACTCCAGAGAAAATAATAATAACCCCCCTCTCCCCCCAATAATGATGATAAGTAAATAAAAAGATTTTGAGGTCCGTTCAAAAATGTCTGGCAATTTGGCCTGCGATCTGACTATTTACTATCCCTGCTCCAGGACTTTTCCTTTAAGGTGAGCTTGACCTTTCAGCACTTGTGCTCTCATTGAAATCACTGGGAGTTTTAGGTGCAGTAATTAATACAGTGCTCACTCTTCATACATTTCTTCTGGTTAGGCAGATATTAGTGCTTTTGGTAGTGTTCCTCATTTAAGTAAGTGTAGAAAATAGCAGTCAGACTGGTAGATATGATACTTACTGTGAGTGTATGATGAGATTTTTATTTCATGCATAAAGAAAACATCCTAATTGCTTACTGCATGCTATTTTTATAATGGATTACCCTTTTACTTGTAATAATGAACAGTTATAGAAAGTCCTTTTGTAAAGAAAACAAAGAAAAAACCTGAACGAACCTAATACATGTGTTCCAGCTAAGTGTCCCAATATTTATCTTCTCTTCTTAGGGGAAAAATTCATCTATCTTGCTCTCCAAACATAATAAACATAGTGTGGCAGGAATAAAAATAGCCAAAAATTCACCATCTTTCAATGAGGGGAATGAGGAGAGAGAATAAATATGCTGTTAAATTATTTTAACTTTTATTCAAGGAAACTATATAAAATTACATTTACATTTTAGTCAATTTAATGGTCTAATATATCTGCTTCTTCCTTCTCCTTTCAGTATGGAAACCATGAGGGGTTTCTTTGGAGACTTGCACGAGCTTATGGAGATATGTTTGAGATGACTACAGATATTGAAGAAAAGAAGAAATATGTTGCTAATGGTAGGGGGAGCAAAAAACTGGCTAGATAAAATGACACCTGATTATTGTAGAAAGGCTCATTCTCTGAACTTTTAGTGGCACTTTTCCCTGAAATGTCATAGTCCAAGTAATTTGTAATCTGGTTTTATAAGCATTTAGACCTTGATGAAAATGTTTTGCATGATAAAACTGCCACGTGTTTTGGCATCAAACACTTAGTTTCACTCTACTCAGAAGATGTCCAGGACTGGATTAGAAGGGGTTTTGCCAGTCAGGATTGGCTCCAGTCAGTGCTTTTAATACTTAAATGTGAGCCAGACTGACACAGAGCTAAAATAAAAAAAATCTTCAGCCTGATGACGTCTAAATAAATGCCAAGGCTAAGGCAGTTTTTTTCCCTAGGGCAAAGGTTGGGGTCCTCTGAGGCCCCACAGTTTAGTAACCCCGTCTCAGGTGAGGAGGGCTGAATATGGCTCTTTTGGGAGCCTCGGAATACTGAGGACTAGAAGCAGTGCTAAAGAATGAAAAGCAGAATATGCTGCATCCACTGCACCGAGCCTGTGTATCCAACATCTCCTGGATGTCCTGTTGTCAGCTTAATCTCAAACTGGTCAAAACTGAATTCCTGATTTTTCCCTCCCACTACCTCCTTTTTTCCTCTGCAACTTTCCAAAGCACCACCATCTTGGCCATCGCTTGGGTTCATAACTGGGAGGTCATCATTTGCTTTCTCTCCCTGGTCCTGCACATTTAAGCTGTATCTAAATCCTGCCACCTCTTCAGTACCTCTAGCATCTTTCTTTCTCAATGAGAAATTCTCACCCAGGCCGTCTTGATCTCGACTACTGCACAATTCTTCTCTCTTGCCTCTCTGACATCCCCATGGCCCCCTCCTGTCCATACAACACACTGCCACTAAAATAATCCTCTTTGCCCATCTCTTTGATTACATCACTCCCTCTGTACCTCATCCACTGGCCCCCCCTCCTCTCCTGCATCAAATTTAACTTGTCCTTACTGCCTTCAGAGCCCTACATAGTCCTGCCTCTCCTTACTTATCTCTTTGTCTTGTTCTGAGTTTTCATTAACCCACTCTGTTCCTCCAGGGATGCCAGCCTGGACCACTCATTTGATAGCTTCTCTCACACACACCTCTCCATGCCTTCTTTCATGCTACCCTTACACATGCTGTGTCCTTCCTGAGCTGCTCTGCAGGGTACCTACTCTGTCTGCCATCACATCTCTTGTGAAGACTCATCTCTGTCTTGATTCCTATAAGAAACTTGCTAACTAACATTGTCTTGCTTCACGACTAACTTGGATATAATTTACATGCACGGTATGTGTTTAATATTAACACAAGTATATCTTTGTTACTCCCTTCCCCTTACTCACTGTCCATTTGTTTACATGTCTGTCTGTACAGTGAGCTCCTTCGGGCAGGGATGTTCCCTTCTTTGTTTGGAAAGTGCCTAGCACACAAAATAAATAATAAAATAATAATAAAACTATACTTTGATCTCACATCATTTGCTGCTGCTTGCGATTAATTTTAGCACTTGTTGATGGGAGATAATGGCAGGGCAGAGAGCGATGAGAAGCAATGGTGGTATGTGAAGTGGGTCAGAGGTATTCATGTGATCAGCAGTGTTGCGTCACAGCCTGTTCAGATATTTATCCTGCAATGGCTGGGTGTTCTGAGTTCTGAAGTCTCTTGCAGCATTTTTTTTTTTTAATTTTTAGTTTGGGAAGAGGCTCAGAGAGAACTGTTTCTAAAGTGGACTTGGCACAGTAACTTATTTTTAATTCCAACTGGACAGAGGATTGTTTGCTTTACCTCTTGTTTTTATAGTTATTTTTAATAATAATAATAAAATGCGGCTTAATTGGTTACAGCTAAGGCTTTAGAAACAGCAATCTCATCATCTGGACTCCTACTCAAAATGTGAATTTGGCCAAGTCGCTTAATTTCTTCATTCCTGAGTCAAAAGCAGAACATCACTGAAAACCAGTTGGTTGCATCTGAATTGAACTATCCTAAGTAAACAAAAATATAAAAAATACATTTGTGTATGTATTGTGAATCCATAATGTTACAATATCCAACTCAGTGTTTAAATGGAAAATCAGATTGGTTTCTTTTGTATCTAAAGTATATTATCTCACAATGTAGTTCCTGGCTTAATCTAAGATGGAGAGATGCTTTAGTATAACTTTTTCTTTTACAGGAAAGATTGTAGCTGAAAAAGCTATTCAGCTGGATACCATGAGCGCTGATAGCCACCAATGGTAAGTTTGAATAATGGAGAAATATTGTTTGTATTATGGTTTTCTGCTAAGTCAGAAAGCTGAAATTGTGTATAAAAAATGTCCACAACAAGTCCTATAAGAGTTACAGGCTCCATATTTCATCATTGTAGATTATTGGTTGGATATCAGTTTTGTAAGGTAGCTGTTTATAACTTTATATGGTTTTATTTACCCAGCATAATGCAGTTACATCTAATAATTACATTAAAATATTTTGAGAAAAGCTTGCTATAGTACACGAAACCTCAGTTTTTGGTGAAACAAGGCACTAAACAATTTTCCAGTAAGTATGATGAAATGTAGGAATGAGTATTTGATTACACCAGTATCTCATAATGCCCATACAAACTACAATTTTCCATTTTCTTTTTTTTCCTAAACTATTCAAAACAGTTGTTTGACATGATTTTCTTTTTGATGTTATTTCTCTTATCTAATTCAAATGCACCCATCCAAAGCACTAGTTGAACTTACAGTCTGTAGCAATGAAAGTTAAACAATAAGGGCCACATTCTGATACATATTGAGTAGTATCTTTCTATGCAAGTATTCCCACTGGAATCCAGAGTTTTAGACAGGTGCATTGTAATAATAAATTAAATGAACAATATATTCATAGAAATACTTTAGGAATAGCTAATTATGAAAAAAGACAAAACAAAAAGTAAACAATGTATTGGAAGAGAGAGACAAATGGAAAATTATGGCTTATGTGAACATTTGGAGATATGGGTGTATCCGGATACTAATTTCTGCATTTTATCGTATTGCTTACTGAAATGCTGTTAGTTTGGGACCTCAAGATATTGGCCCAATGTCTCTCCAAAATTGAAAATCCTCCCACATCCCCAGAATTAAGACTTTTCCATCACTCTTCCAAAATTAATTCCTCCTCCGCGCAACAAGAAAGAAACTGTGAGCGTAGTTAATGACTTCCAGCATTAATTGGAGGCCAACAAATTTGGTTCTGGTGGACCAATAGGGAAAGAGAGCTCCAAAATCATGTCTTCAGACTCCTGTTATTTAACCAAGGGAGTTATTTGCTGCAGCACTTCAGCTAATCTCCTTATATATTGTGAGGAGTAGGTGATTTATGAGGTATTTAGGCCTTTACTGGTTAACTCCAATAACATAAATTACACCTGGAAATGAGTTGGCGGCCAGTGCAGATCATAAAGATCAAATGTGATGTGCTCCCTGTGCCGAACATTACATAGCAAATGGATCACTGCTTTCTGCACTAGCAGAACTATTTTTACAGTCTTACATTTGAAAATTAATATATTTTTTTCCTGTAGCTTGATGTAAAAATTAGGATCATGAACAAAATGGCATATGAAAAGTTGGTACTAGAGTTGGGCAAAATTTAGAATTTCTTTTGCATGAGAAATTCCAACATTTCAAAATTGTCTTTAGTCCCAAATTGGCATAAAAAAGTCAAAATTTCCTGAAAAAAGAAGTTTCTAAAAATTTAGTTTTGTTGATATCAAAATGACCTCATTAAGGCACTTTGTTTCAGTAAGGTCAAAGCGCTTTGTGTTGACTTTTATATTCTACAATAATTTTAAAGTAATATAATATAGTTGAAACAAATTGTTTTTACCTTATTAAAATAAAGCACTTATCAAAGTCTATATGTTCCCATGAAATGTTTCAAGTTTGGCAGGTCAGCATTTCTGACAGAAACATATTCCATCAAAAAAATTTCTGCTAGCTTTAGCTGGTGTCTCCTCAGTGCTGCTATTTTATTTATTAATTGTTTACTTCTTTTCTCCTTGCTGATGAAAGTTTTGTTGCTGTTTCTTTCATTCCAGGGTTAGTTTATTAATTATTTGCTAATTATTGCATCAGTTTAGTCTGTCTGCTACTACGCTGAGATCCGCACTTTATTGTGTTGTCCCTGCACAGGGGTTCCTGAGAGAGTTGCTATGCTTTTAAAATGGTGTATTTCCCCCTTCTTTGGTGTTAATCTCACCTCTCCTTGATCCAGCTCTGCTTTCTGGCTATGGGCCATTAAAGAGGTATAGTATGGAAGGGGAGTTTAGTCTGTGCTAGAGGACATTACCCCTTGAGGCTTTTAATTTATCCTCTCCTCCTTGCTGACTTTGTCATAGTTTAGAAGTAAAATACTGTAATGACAGGCCCCGCTAGCAGGGGAAAATAAGTACAAAAGTAAGGAAAGAAAAGGTGTCCCAAAATTAGACTGATCAAAAAAATTGTTCTAGAGGTTGACGTGTGGAAGGAAATCCCATGTTTCTTAAGCTGTGGTGTCTTGTTGCAGAAAAAAATTATATACGTTCTACAGTTTCATCCTTGTATTTCTGTCCTTAGTAAGTTTGGTACGGAGGCTTTCCAAAAGTATAATGGCATTGTAGGTTTCATTAGTTTGGAATGATCAAGTGCTCAGCATTGATGGTGATTTTAAGGATTAATGTGGTATAGACTGTAAAGCAGTTTATAATCCCACTTTGTTTATGAAGAATATTGTAATATTTGATATTATTCTCCTGATTAGTACTGGATAAGGGTTATCTCTAATTCACTTTGCAAATGTGATTATAGATGGGCTGCAATAATAAAAGTAATAATATTATAGTATTCCTAGCAGGCAGCTAAGTCTACTTATCTGCTTTGATTAAGGCCATGTTTACACTTGCACTTATGTCGGCAAAGTTTTTGTTGCTCCAGGGTGTGAAAAAAACACTCCCCTGAGCGACGTAAATTTTGCCATCATAAGCGCTCATGTGCACAGTGCTATGTTGGCGGAAGATGCTCTCCTGCTGACATTGCTACCGCTGCTCATTGAACTGGTTTTATTGTGTTGACTGGAGAGGTCTCTCGTGGCTACACAAGTGCTGCTGTAAGTGGAGACGTGGCCTTAGTTTGTACAGTTCTTTCTCTTCCTCTTTCACCCTTGATTACACAGACGCTTGTAATCTAATAATATGGGGGGGAATGAAATTTAATTAAACAACTCTGAATTGTACATCAAATTTTTATTCCTTCCTTTTGTGGAAGAAAATTTGTTTTATAAGTTGGCACTAATGTTTCCCTGGATTTTATTCTGTTTGTCTATTGGGAACATAAAATATATCTGTCTCAGAGGATTAGGATAATAGGCTTCTTTGAAAGCTTTTCTCAGAAGCTTATCTCTAATAATTAGGAGCTCTAATTAGAACATAAATAAATTTCTATATGTACAAGCCAAGGAAGTTCAGCAACTGTGAAGTATAATTGATTGAGGGGAAATTGCTAATTCTGGCCTTCTTTTCCCACCCATGCAGATTTTTTAGATTTATTTGACCTGGTAACCATATTCTATATATTACATGTCAACTTGGTGACTTCATTTAGTCTCTTAGAAAAGTTCTATGATATGAGAACAAGTGATGGGCTTTCTGAGCAAGGCCTCCCTTCAACAGAGAGATACCTTCATGTCTACCTATCTCTATACTTAAAAGTTTCTTAGTGTAGCTTGTTGGTTAGGAGTATGAAAAAAATATCACACTCTCCTACTAACATAGCTGTGCTGGCAAAAGCCCTATTGTATACACAGTTATATCAGCAAAAAGGTCCTATTGCCAGTATATCTTTTGTAGTTTGCGGAACTGGTATAAGTTATTTATTTGGGCAGAAGCACTCTTTTGCTGGCATAAGCAATGTCTCCATTAGGAGGGTTTGCTGGTATAGCTAAGGTCGTTTTTTTACCTACTTTCCACATCTGCCTCCAGAAAAATGCCTGGAATAGGGCCAACTGCCTGTCTGTGTTTAGTTGTGTGATCTGTCAGTGCAGAAGATAATCTTTTAGGCAAAAAGATATCAGTACCAGAGCTTTCAGTGTTTTTACCAGCAGCTTGCCAGGTACTCAATATTCATCTTCAAATTAAATTTATCAGTGGGATAAATATAGAAAGTACTGACCAAAACATCTTTTATCAATCAGTCAGCCTTGGCAATCAATCTTTTTGCAGCTGCTGCTAATCTCAGAATTAATAGATGCATCCAGATTTCAGCTGCTGAGTGGTCATACTTTATTTTATGGTTCCCGGATAGATCATGAAGGCTTTAGATTGTTTGATTAGAGATATTTTAAACTGTTGACAATGAAAATCATAGCTGTAATTTTCGTCTATCTAATCAGTCCAGTCCCCTGTGAAGAGGGATTAGAACTATAGTAAGATTTTAGTAAAAGATGTAAATGTTGACGATGCCCTCATATGTTTGAACACCTTGCAGCATTTTAATTTGTGGAACTTGTTGCAACTTCCATGGGAGCGGAATGCAAAAATTGGCATTTGTCAGTTAACCAGCTTTTTAAAAAAAAAAATAACTCAAACAGAATCTTGTTTGTGATTGTTTTATGACTAGGGGCCCTACCAAATTCATGGTCCATTTTGGTCAATTTCATGATCGGGGGTATAAAATTAGTCAACTTCACGTTTTCAGATGTTTAGATCTGAAATTTCACTGTGTTGTAACCGTGGGGGTCCTGACCCAAAAGGCAGTCAGGGTTAGGGGGTCACAAGGCTATTGTAATGGGGTCATGGGATTGCCACCCTTACTTCTGCCTTGCTGCTGGCCGGGGTGCTGCCTTCAGGGCTGGGCAGCTAGAGAGGAAGGCTGCTGGCCGGACGCACAGCTTTAAAGCCAGCTCCACTGCCAGCAGCAGTTCAGAAATGATGGTCGGAGGTATGTGGGGTTGGTTACCATATGGTTTTCCTGGCAGTCTCCCGCCCAAGTCTCTTGGTGAAGGGAAATGGTGAATCATGGGAGATAGAGCCCAGCTCATAGAGGAAAATTAGGGTATGAGGCACCTTCTGCAGCAAGGTCCTTTGATTAGTGGCACTCTGGTGGAAATTCTGCAGCAATTCATATAGGTGAATGGGACATAGTTTGGGATTGCGGCATAAACACACCAGTTGGATGTTTCTGCTAAAATGATCAGTAAGGAAATAATGACAGTTAAATTATCATAGTTA